TAAATATAACCACACAAGTCAGCAACTATAGTCAGCAGTCTAGCCATCTCAAGTCTAGGAACATCATGGTTTATTAGCCAACAACAAAGATCCCTGTTAAAGCATTTTGATTGACAGTCTGACTTTGCTGCCCATTATAGACATAATGTCTATAATGGATGGACAATCAGAGGCCCTCAGAGGTCCAGACTCTGCTATTCTGGAATTCTGTCATCCCCAATGATAATGTGGAGACCAGTTTTATGGCAATACCTCCAACCACCAGTCCTGTTTATGAAGACAGCGTCTATCAAATTTCTAGTCTGTCAGTACCCCTCTCACCTTTGTATTCCTTATTGATTTGATTAAGGGAGTGTTTTCCAGGTCCCCTCAGTGACCATAGCCAGGCGATAGATTTCTAGATCTTACATAATAAACTAATTCTAACAGCCTCGTCTCCAAAAAACCAAAAAAGTTCTAGCATCCCTTCCTCATTAACTGGAGCCCATTGGCACATACAAGCTTTAAGGACTCAGTTTAAGATTTTTAGAATTCTCTTGAGATTTTTATTGCCCAGCATTGAAATCCAAGTCATGAATGAACTCTCCTTTGTCAATAAATGTTCCCTATCCAGTCTTACCAGCTGCTTTCCTGTTCCAGGTTAGCACTCCTGAGATCTACCTCCCTGGGTCCTGCAAATGCTCGGGAATGCAGATCAACCCTCCTGAAGCATAGATTGTGCTGACATCAGTACCACCTGATCAGATTGTCCTGATCAGACTGGGAGGCAGGCCTGGGGGTACTGAGGAGGGGGTGTAGGGGAGAACCAGTTCCACAGTGTGGGGTACCTCAGGTGGTACCATTTCACTGACTCCAGGAAAGGGGAGGCTTCTCCCTTCTAGCAGGATGGAGATATGCTTCAGCCAGCCTGGAGAGCTGAGGGGAATTCTGGGGCTCACAATTCCCATGAATCCACCCAAATAGCCCTAACATGAATCACATCAGGGCATTGACACTGACAGATAAGACTTGTTGGAGCTCTGAGCTGAATCATCTGAGCTGCTCTGTCAGCTTTAAAATTAGAGACTTTTCAGCACGGTCTTCAGGAAATGAGAGTCTCCTTTGAAGTTACCACAGAACACACTGGCTTTTTAAAGAATGTTTTTTACTCAGCGTTTGGTTGTCATAACATCTCATTTTCTGGTGCAAGTCTTCAGTGCAGTTATCCCAGTCAAAATGAATCCTGTAATTATCTCAGCCCTCAGAAGGGCCAAGTACCTCATCTTCTGCCCGCACCTCACCTCAGTCAATTTCAGGTGAGTGCCTTGGTAATTGTATGTCACTGCAGGTCACAACAGGCCAGGGATTATCGCCACCCCACTCACCTCCAGCAGTGGAGTACTTAGTTACTGCCACCAGATCACTGAGTGATCTAGCTTGAAAGTTCCATCTCGGTGGTTTGATTGATAGGGCCACTCTTGGTACTAGTTGTTCAAGCCTGGGCTCCCTATTGTGGCACAGCTTAAAGAGGTGGCTTGAGTACGATCCCAGAGGTCAGAAGTGAAGGACAAGAAGAAAGAAGGGAGCAGAGGAGAGCCAATGGGAGGATGTGTTAGCAAGCAGGTTGCCTCTAGAGGGACTGATTGCTCAGTGAGTTGTGTCCATTCCTGAGAAGCTGTTTAAAAAGACCCTACATATCAGATTGTCTATTGATGGGGAGAGAAAAAGGGGAAGAGTTTACTTACTCATCTGTCTCCCACCTCCCATTGGTGAAAGCTTCACACTGGGGACTCCCCTGCACTTCCAGGTCTGCCTATCCGTGTGCCCAGCAGAGGCCCCAGCAATGTCAACAGGGAAGCCCCAGTCAGGAGATGAAAGGCCTGAGGCTGGCTATGCGATGAGGGCCTATCAGGCTGGCCTGCATGAAATCAGCCAGAATCTATGCCCAGTTGGTTGTCACAGGGGTGAAACTAGTGAGGCTTAGAGGACCTCACGTTAGATAAGGTAGGAAAGTCAGAGAGAAGTGTGTGTGCGAATGCAGGAGGAGCCAAATGGCTGCATCAATTGGAATACATTTGACAATAGGTGCATTTTGTCTGGAACACCCTGAAAAAAAAAATTGGAATCTGAACATCTTCAGGTAGAGCATACATTTTTCCCACTTACCAGGCTCCCTACTCAGCTCTGTGTGTGTTACACACTTCACACATTCCTGTTCCCTGCCTAACTCCTGAAGGCATTTGGGCTTAAGTCCCCTGAGGGTTGGGATCATAGCCTGCTAACAAGGCATGGCAGATTTAGCTGCTGCACATCTCCAGCTGGCTTGCTCTCAGAAGCCTGTGGATGGGAATGACTCAGGCCTGCAGGGGAAAAATAAGCCCAAGGCCTGATGCAAGGTTTGTAGCCCAGGTGAGCCGGAAAGTGAGGGGATTCGTTGGTTCCCAGAACACCGGCCACGTGCTGGAAAGAGCAGAGCCGCAGTCTCCTTTTAAGAAAACACTTGAACACTTTCCAGAGGATCAGAAGAAGACATTAGAGAGTTTTTTGATGTTTTTACAGTGTGGGGATCAAGCCAAGGGCGTCCACATACTAGCTACACTAGGCAAGAGCTCTACCACTGAGCCACATCCCTAGCCCTGCACTAGAGTATCATCAAGCAGGCTTCTTTAGTAAAGAGGTTTCAACCCTGTTTTCATTAAACAATGATGTTGGGCCTGGCTCTCTTCCCTTCCATTTTTCATGCTCAGCAGTGACCTTCATTTCAGTAATCATTTTCCCTCTATTTCAAAAACAAGTTAAGTTATAGATGCTGTATCATCAAAGCAGAGCTTGAAATCTGATAATAAGATAACTCCATTCTGTTAAGTGAACCGTCTGGATTTGTAAGGGATATTGAATTTCTTAAGTACATTATGAGGTGGAGAGTAGATACTATAGACATTTTATTAGGAAATTTATGTCATAGAGATATTTGAGGCATTGTATCAAGCCCTGTTGATACAAAATGAGGTAAGATATGAACTGGGAAGCTCGTAAGAAAACACATGTCGGGTCTGGGAAGGGTGTTGTGGAGAACCTAGGAAGGAGGGAAGGCTTTGCTGAGGAAGTGACATTTGTTCCAAGTCTTGAAGGGTAACTTGCTCCTGAGGCTGCAGTGGGAAGATGGAATGACCATTCAGAAGGGTGAGGCAAGGACAAGGTGTGGGACCTCTTGCCCTCCTGTCTAACCAGGCTGCCTTGACCACTATGGCCACTGCTCATCACCCCAGGTAGGGTGCTGCTATAGTCACCTTCATTAATAATCTCGGCCAAACTCTGCCTTCCCACACCTCAGAGGCAAGGAAGTTGTACCTGCTGCCTGCAAGTAGCAGGTTGGTCACCAATGCCTGGACTGGGTGCATAGGTACTGGCTGAATATCCATCCCTGGCTGGAAGTTTCCAAGTGTAAGATCACACCAACGACAGCTGTCAGTAAAGTCATAAATGTTCTAGATTTATTCTCCCATTTTCACAAATATGGAGTTCAATGGGAAGACATGAATTACTATGTTGTCACACTTTTCTGAGCATTCAGAAGGAAAGCTGTATCTGAAGAGCTGTGGGTGACCAGGTAAATAGCTGAGTAGGTGCTGTGGGTCATCAGGTATACGGATTCTTGGTGGAGTATTTGTTTCTTCTTTTTGACGATTTGATAACTGATGGCTATTTTCCAACTTCTGGATTCTGTTCTTGGTGCTTAAAAAGTTGTTGTGTGTACTCCATCATTTAAATCAGTATGTCTGTGAGCCCGGTTCTGATATTCGTATTTTAAGAGCTCCTTTGTAACGCTCACATGGTTGTAATGTGCAGCCAGAGTTGATTGCCACACTTCTAGATCCAGAGAAAGAGGAAGGGGTGGGGGAACTTACATTCAGTGAGCAAGAACTATTATCTTCCCTATATAGTTTCAGTGACATGGGGACCTGTAATCAGGAGCATTCCATTAGTTTGATACAAGTATTTTGATAAGCTGTTTGGAGTAAAAGGTGAGTCCTCCCAAGATTATGTTTAAGAAGCAAAGCAGTTACCCAAATCACATGTATGTGACAAGCCAGGAAATAGATGGCCTTTAAGCAGGAAAGAAAATGAGAAAAAAATGGATAAGAAAAGAAGAGGGGGGGAAATGACCTACTGTGAGCCTCTAGACCTCCCATGGCTGAACTCCTGGTGCTTGGGGTGAGGATTTCTTGTGGATACAGTTTGAGTGGAAGGTTTCTGCATGATTGATGGGGGAGGTCACGGAGGCAGGAACTGGGTCAGGAGTCTGCATGCAAGTCTGAGTCTCATTGTGTCATAGCCGACGTTCACATCATACATTCAGGAAGGCAAAGGTGCAAGATACTGTCACATTGTGACAGAATAGAATTTGCTGATGTCAAGAAGTCACCTTGGTGAGCCATGTTTATGAGTTTCCACAGAGAGCCACTGTGACCAAAATTCCCCCACTAAGCATTAAGTGTCTAAGGAGGAGTCCTAAGACAGGACTCCCAAAGAGCATTCTGTGGCTCTCAAATTCTAAAGTTACATGAAAAGAAAGAAAGAAAGAAAGACAGGGTTCCACAATCAAAGAAATTAAAGGACTTCCAAAGCATTTCATATGCTAATGTGCATAGTGACTTTCTAAGAGGTGAGGTATAGACACCAGGTCTCTCTTTTTGTTCTCTTTTACTATCTCAAAGAACCAGAATTTCTTGAATCACTTTGGAAAACACTATTGCAGTTCTATATCTCAGTAACTACTGCTGCATAGAATTTTTTCTTTTTCCAGAAATGACCAGGAGACACACATATAGAAAGACACACACATTTTAAATGTGCCTATTTTCTTTTTAAACCAAAAAGTTGTTTTCCTTTTGACTATCCTTTCCTAGAAAGAACACTTAAAAACAAATAAAAGCAAGTTGTTGTTGCTGCCCGAGACATTGTGCAAGTCTCTGGATGTTTGTCCCCAAATCATTGTTCATGATGTACTGGCTCTGCAGGTTTTATTTCACTCCTTGAAAACAAAGCTCCCTCTGGAGAATTAGAACAAGACATTTGAGGATGGGAGGGAGCCAGAAAATTAAGGATTCATCCTGCTGCATTTCTTTTGCTGAACCTTCATGATGTGAATAGGTAAGTCGAATGCAAAGTGAGACACAGTTGGCATTTCTTAGCAGGAGGTTAGGAACAGAGTGTGCTACTGCATCAAGGTAACTTCAGTGAAACGGAAGTGTGTGACAGAGATGGAGTAGGAGGTAGAAGACCCAAATTCTAGACCCAGGGATATCACATTTTGGGTATGTGACCTTGGCCAAATTCTCCATAAAATGATCCTGAATGTAAGTGAATGTAAGTGTATCTGGATAACTACACAATCATAAATGTAAACTATCTCAAAGTTACTAGGAAAAAAATTCTGGAGAAACCAGAACCTGCAAAAAAGGCCTATCTGAGGGCTCCAGGATTTTTACAGCCATGATTCTGTGGGGGTGGGGTAGGGATAGTGCAGAGCCTTCTTCTCTGAGAGAGCTTTCCCACCCTGTGAAGTTTTTGAGGCATCAGCCACTCCTGGGGCACCGACCCCTAATCCACTGGATCCCACAAAGTCCTGGGGTTACCTGTCGCTAGTAAAATGGTGGGAGATCCTGGCCCTGGGCCTCCACGTGATGTTGCTGTTGAGCTCTGGTCTTTGACTTAATTGCCTGGCCTGCTGCCCCTGCACTTGGCTATGCTGGCCCAGTGTCCCCCATGTCTGCTGTGTCCTCTCCAGCACCCTTGTGGCTGTTCCTGACATGGGACACTGTCCCTCTCTGTCCCTCTGCCCTTTATTTTTTCACAGATCACTGGGGATCGCACAATGAAGCAAAATATGTTTCTGTGGCTTGTGAAGAGTCCAATCTTTATAACTTTTCTCCCAACTCCCAAGAATAGTCAGCAAGCCTTTCCTTAGAAATAGTAAGCCAACACTACGGTTGGATTTTTCGTATGTTGTAATTTATTAAATGATCAATAATTCTCCCAATTTTGTCCCCCAGTAGAATTTCTGATATCTGAATTGGATAGTTAAGGTGTCCAGAATGTACATAATTTGAATGAAGCTCTCCCAGTCATTCTGGTATTCTATCTCTTCTTTTCCTTCTAAGCATAAGGAAGCAGGCCATTTTTAAAAAAGTTTTTTAAATTTATTTTTTAGGTGTAGATGGACACAACACAATGAATTTATTTTTATGTGGTGCTGAGGATCGAACCCGGGTCCCGCCCGCGCTAGGTGAGCGCTCTACCGCTGAGCCACAATCCCAGCCCAAGCTACAATCCTGATCTTTTTTTTAAACTTAGCAACTTTTTAAAGATTGCTTTTATTTGAGGCTTTAATCTCTCTTTCTAAAATTGGGAGGAACTGTAATAAAATACATTTTTGCTCACGTGATCTTTTCCCATCTTAGGTTATTCCTCCAGAATGTCAAACTCTCTCCTAAGACCACAGCTACCTCCACAGTTCAAGCCCTGGGCAACTGATGAGCCTCCATGTGGTCTTTCCATGTCGACTCTTGTTCTTCTTAGCCTTTCTTCATACTGCAGCTAGAGGGGTCTTTTTAAAAAATCTGATCAGTTCTCATCCCACTGAAAACTCTTCTGTTGCTCTTAAGAAAGATTCTCTCTCTTTAACATAGATAAGTGTTCTTCAAATCTCAGAGAATTATTATTCTTTGAAAAATTGTTAAAACTTGCCGGTGACATCATCTTGAAAAGTAAGTAGTTCTGTATGTTCCCCCCATTCCTTATTTTCTTTTACATTTGCAGATTTTCTTCCTTCTTTCTGAATTCAGCAAGCATGTTTTCACTTATATATAGAATCTTGCATTTCTATAGGTTATATAAATCTTTGTATTAATTTGGTGTTAACTTGTATTAACTTAATAAATCATCTGACCACTTGTTCCTAAGCTTCAATGATGCTGACACCTCATCCAAGCCTTGCCTGCTCTTTGTTGCATCAGGGTAGATGCTTGCCTTCTGTTCTGGAACCCTCTTTCCCGTACTTCCTTCTGTCACCAATTATAAATCATCATGTTGAGTTTAAGTACACCTCTTCATTAGTATGGGGAGCCCATGATAACCACTCAGCGGTGTGAGATTTATTTTTAATGAGTAGTGTATGGTAGCAATCAAAGTTACACTTTTATCTTTTGTATTTGTCCATATGGGAAGCCAGTCTTGGAGCACTGTGGATAGAGCAGCCCACCTCCTCTCCCTATGCAGACATCCTTCCCATGTTTCTTCATTCTGGTATGTGCCTAAGTCTGCACCTATGTTTTCCATTCTCTTTTACTCGATTTTTAAATCTACTCTTGCACCATTACTGCACTGAGTTAATTACCATACAACTTTATAATCAATCTTTGTATCTTACAAGGAGAGTCCCTGTCAGCCCTTACTAATTCATCTTCAGATTTATCTTTGCTATTCATGGCCCTTGATATTCATTAGACTTCTAGGATCACTTTTTCAAATTCTGTAAGTAGAACTTGCTGATTTTAATTGGAATTGCATGGAATATTACGGATAAATTTTGGGCAATCTTACATTTTCCGATTTTCATCAAGGAAGTATGCATATATTTCTATTTTATATAAATCTCTTATGCCCTTCAAGAAAATATTATAGTATTCTCCATAAAGACCTAAAGCATCTCTAATAAATGTATTCCTAGGTTTCTTATGAACTGATACTGTGAAAGGTATGTTTTAAATTTATCTTTTAATTGTTGATGTATAGGAATGAATTCATTTTTCATAAGGTAATCTAGTATTTAGCAACTTTAGTGAAATCTTAATAACTCAAGTTTTTTTCTTTAAATTTGCTTAGGTTTTCTATGGAGATATTAATTTTGAGTACAAATAAAGAAAGTTCTATTTTCTTTACCTGTCCTTTTAATAGTTACCTATTTAATAAATATTGTGCTAACTGGGACTTCCAAAATAATAATGTTGAATAAAATTGACATGGTAGATATTCTTGTCAGGTCTCACCATTAAATACAACATCTGCCCTTAGGGTTTTTTTTATGATTTTCTTTCTCAGGCTAAAGAAACCTGTCATAGTTTCTTATTATGAATTTTTATTGAATTTTACCAAATTCTTTCTCTATACCTATAAAGAAGTAAGATAGAGATTGTTCCTTCTTTTTCTATTTACTGAGTTAGGATGCATGAGAGAATTATTATTCTTTGAAGAATTGTTAAAATATGCCTGTAACATCAACTTGACTTTAAGTAGTTCTATATGTTCACCTACCCCATTCCTTATTTTCTTTTACACCTGCAGATTTTCTTCCTTCTTTCTGAATTCAGTATGCATGTTTTCACTTTTATATAGAATCTTGCATTTCTACAGGTTATATAAGTCTTTGTATTAACTTGGTTTTCCAGCTTTCTAAAATCAGAAATCCTAAATTATTTCTTTAAGAAAAAATATTTTAATTACTTTTGTAAATGAGTCCCGTATTACATATTCTTGCTAGTGAGTGCTGACAGAGAAGGCATATTTGCATTCTTTTCCCGTCAGTTCTCTAAAGTCCTCACTAAATACCCAGAATATTCCAGATTCAGTAGTCTATAACTGCAAAGTACTATTTTATTTTATTTTGTATTAAAAATGTAGAGGATTTCTAGGCTCATTGTATGGACTATCAGAAATTGATGCTTCTTCAGTATTACCCAGTAGACTTTTTGGAATCCCCAAGGAATATACCTATACAAATAGCTCTTTTCTTATTGAATTGCTCCTGCAGCCATGTTCTGAACCACCGCTTCTTCAGAGCCAGGAAAGTGTCCTCCCAGCACCTCATGATGCATGTTGTACTCCTCTCAGGTTTGACACCATTCTGTCTCATAATTCCCAAGGTAAAATTAAGAACAGCCTCTTGTATTTAACAAAATGTATTGGTGAGAATCTAGAGAAGATGTTCAAGTGACTTCCAATGGAAAGAAAATTAGATTGTCATCAGACTTTTCAAAAAGTAATATACAATATACTTAAGATACTCAAAGAAGTAATTAAGTAATATACTTAAGATACTCAAAGAAAAATAAGGTGAGCCAAAAGTTTTATAACCAGCCAAACTGGCTTTCAAAACTAAAGGCTGTAGACAAATCATTATCAACATCTGAGAATTCAGAGACTCTTTTCCCCTTAATCCTTTGCTGTGAAATCTGCTGGAGAACAAACTTCAGACATTCTTCAAATAGAGATAGTTACATGAATACACGTAACGAGCATGAAATTCATAGCCACTTACAGAGCTAAGTTGAGGTTAAAGTTTAAAAGACAAGCTTATAGTGCATAATAGTTATATGCTCTGATAATATAATTATAGAATCACTAAAAATGCAAATAGAATGGGTAGAGCATATACATAGTTTTGAAATTGTTTTCAGTAATCCTTTGGTGGAGGGTATTGATATAGGTATTGTGAGACAACGATTATGTACATAATGAAGAAGAAAACAAATGATAGTTGTGGCCTATTCTAACTCTATAATACATTGTCTACCTGAGAACCAAGATTCATAATATGGAGGAAAGAAGATACAGATTAAACAGAAGAGGTTAAGTAAAAACTCACTTGTCCTGAAGTTGAATTGGATGAGGTTATCATTCATATTTATACTTATGAATATATAGGTAAGTGTTCATGGGTATTCAAGATGTCCTCATTTCAAGGTGGCAATCTAGGTACTGGGAATCTCTCTCAGTTCTGGACATGTTCACTGAAAATTTTTGGAAACAAGCGTTCAACTCAGTAACAGAAAGCATCCCTAACACCCAGAATATTATTTGAAATGAAGGTTTCTTGGTGATACAACTAATTTTGAGGCAAAAGCAGGAAATATACAAATTGATCACAGAATGTGTTGTTATATCCCAAGAATCATGCCAAAAGCCATCAATTTAAAGGAACTTCCTATTCATCTATTGAAGGGCACCTAGGTTGGTTCCACAGTTGAGCTGTTGTGAATTGTGCTGCTATAAACATTGATGTGGTTGTGTTCCTGTAGTATACTGTTTTTAAGTCCATTGGGTATAGACTGAGAAGAGAGATATACCTGGGTCAAATTGTGGTTCCATTCCAAATTTTCCAAGAAATCTCCATAGGAATGGATGAAAAAAAGGTGGCATATATACATAATGGAATAGTACTCAGCAATAAAAGAGAATAAAATCATGGAATTTGCAGGTAAATGGATGGAGTTAGAGAAGATAATGCTAAGTGAAGTTAGCTAATCCCCCAAAACCAAATGCAGAAGTTTTCTTTGATATAAGGAGGCTGATTCATAGTTGGATAGGGAGCGGAAGCATGGGAGGAATAGATGAACTCTAGATAGGGCAGAGGAATTGGAGGGGAAGGGAGGAGGCATGGGGTTATTAATGATGGTGGAATGTGATGATCATTATTATCCAAAGTACAGGTATAAAGACATGAATTGGTGTGAATATACTGTGTATACAACCAGTGATATGAAAAATTGTGTTCTATATGTGTAATACGAATTGTAATGCATTCTGCTGTCATATATAAATTAACAGTAAATAAAAAAATTTAAAAAAAAACAAAGGTCCTTTCTATGGCCAGAATGGAGCCATTCAAGTTTTAATAAAGAGCTGGGCACAGTGGCACATACCTGTAATCCCAGTGACTCAGAATGCTGAGGCATGAGGATGGTGAGTTCAAAGCCAGCCTTAGCAATTTAGAGAAGTTCCAAGTAACTCAGTGAGACCTGTCTCCAGATGAAATATAAAAAAGGGTTGAGGATGTGGCTCAGTGGTTAAGCACCCTGGGTACAAAACAAAAAGTTTAATGAAGACATTAAAAGCAATGGATTGATACATATCAAATATATTTAAATCCATAAATTTATAGTAATTTAAAAAAATGATTGGTCATATTTGGAGAAGGATTTGGGAACCAACTCATTATTATGAAAACTAATAAAGGGGAAAATCAATTACTCATTAGGTCTCCCTATATGAATTTTATTTCAGTAACCAAATAGTAGATGAGTAAAGTGACCCTTCATAGAAAGATTTCAGTTAATTAAGAATGAATGAAATCTCCACCTTACAGCTCCTATTCAAACCACAGATCTAAACACTGAGCAGCAGTAGCTGCCAACCTTACCAAAGGAAAGGCAACCAGTCTAGGCTTCCTGATGAAACAACACAGTATCACCAATGGTCTTATCAAAGCAAATAAACCTGAATCAGATGGAACTACCAATTGACAGGGAACGCAGAGGACAGAGGAACACGTTAAACTCCACCACAGAGAAGCTCTGACGATCCAACATTTCAACAAATACCTTGCAAAGGATAAAAGGGACATGGGGCAAAACTTGAGATTAAAAGACAAATTTTAAAACAATCAAAATTAAACTACAGTGTTTTGGGGTGCTCAATTGAATGGTAAAACTACTTGTTAAAAAGGGAAGTGACTTCAATAAAATTAGGATAATGGTTTCTTTTAGGGAAGAGGGTCCCAGCATGTGAAGGGCTTCTTAGGTAGCTAGCAAAGTTCTGTTTCTTGACTTGGTGGTGATTACAAGAGGAAATGCCTCTAATGATTCAGTGAAGTAGAATTTTGTATCATGGAGTTGTCTGTATTTATGCTTCATTTCATAGTGAAAAATATTTTTAAAAATCATCTGAACATGCTTAGGGAATAATAGTACCACCATTCAAACTATGACTAAGTGCTATTAAAACTAATTAACTTTCAAGATCACAAGCCAACACCTAAATCTCGGCATTCTTGTCCAGCTCCTACTGGGTTTTAAGAAATAAAAACTAGTTTGAGTCCCACACAACCAAATAACCAAGCCTCTTTAACCTTCCACCTCCTGTTCTTTCATGTCAGCAAGAGGAAGTAGTCTGTCCTTTCCCTGGAAAAAAGCCTACTCATTCATCCTTGCCCTGGAATGATTGACACTGGGAACATCCAGTCCCTTTTTGAAAAATATCCACTTCCATTTACAAGGTGGAATCTGGCTTCAGGGTATCAGAAAAAAAAAAAGATAATAATAATGGCTGTTGATGTATTTCCCCACATCTGGGTCATTCAATATAAACAACAGCATGTGAGAGATGCCATCACTTGAGTCCAATCATATACTTAAGAAAAATCATTTATTTACCTGTTCAAAAGAATATTCAGACTAAAGCTAACTTTATGTCGTAACCAAAGCATTATCTTTCTATTCTGAAATGCATATTAAGATGTTTAATGCACTGCTTCTCCTTTAAAATAACTCCCCGTTGGGGATTTCCCTCCCTCAAATCCTATCTTGAGATTTTCTGAAAATAAGTTCTCAGAACAAAGGAAATCTCAAATTTTATAAGTAAGAAACTCTAACAGCCCTCAGAAGAGAGTTTCCTCCATTCACTCCTATAGTCACAAACTGGATAAAGTCCTAAGTTTTATCTTTATCAGGTACTCATTTTAACTAATCCCAGTCATCGATTTGAAAAAATTTCTATCATTTAGCCCTTAGCTCTGTGTATAAATCTTGTAACCTCCTCTAATTTTCCCAGAGTAATTATGACATGGTGTGAATCCATCCTACAGGAAACATTTTCCCCTTTGTTTGTTCTCACCCTTTACCATTGTCTGTGATAGAAACCACAAGCTGGCCACAACATCCACTCTTTTTTCTCCTTCCTGGAGCCGAGGCTGAAGTAGATTTTTCTATTTTTGTTGCACTTATTCCAGGGGACTAAGTTCTCACCAATGGAAACTCAACAAAAAAATTCTCCACTTACAGAATTTGCCCATTAAAACCTCCCACTCATGCTGTCCAGCTCTTTCCTCTTTTTGGCCAGCTGGACTTGTGACCTGAAGGAAACCTTGGCAACTGAGGATGGAACATGGCAAATTCACTGTCCCATTCCAATCCCTGAAGACCACAGTGTGCTGCTGCTGACCTGAACTGCCTCCTTGAGAGAGAAATACACTGATATTTCAGCTGTTGACTTTTTAAGGGTTTCTTTGCTTGTTACCTTCCTAATCAATATGGGAAGAGGCACCTAAAAGAGAATACCATAAACACACACACACACACACACACACACACACACACACACACCTGAAGAACACAGTGTTGGCTTCTTGTGTGGCCTGAAGGCAGATAGGAGATGGCTATCAAAGGCTAGAAAGCCAGAGCCCCAAGTTAACCATGAAAAACACTTTTAAAACACTTCATCTCTGATAGCTTGGAAAGTAGACCAAGAACTTACTGAGTCTGAAGCTCTAGGGAACATAGCTGGTAAGAGTAGGAATGCTAGTGTGCGAGGTTGAAAGCTGTGGCTTTTAGCCCAGTAATGCAAAAAAGAGACGAGCTCAGGCAAAAATTAACTAGATTGTCTACTGAAACAGAACAATCACTAAAATAATAATAATGGGACAGCCACAATAATAATGATGATAACAATCACAACAATAGTAATAATTCTTCAAGACTGCTCTGGGCTGGGAAAAAAAAAAAAAACACTGATGGTTTGTATAGCTCAAACAGTAGAAGATAAGATTTATAGGTTCAAAGAATAAAAGGAGATCCAGCCCAGTGGCAAAGATAAATATCAAGAGCGTTGGCACCCAAGCCTGTTTCAGACGTCAGTGATGGTTTGATCAAGGAAGACAAACCTCAGAAAAGATCAAGAAAATACTTTGGGGTTTATTTGCTAGCACATGAAACAGAATGGAAATAAGTAGGTCAGAAGCCCATCATATTTTTGAAAAAACAGTAGTGCCCCAGGAAACCACAAGCTTGAATCTGTAAATCACCCTCATGCAACAGCAGAGAGTGAGCTCTGAAAGGTGTTAGCTCCTAAACCCACATTTCCCCATGTCCACCTCTTATGTGGCCATGGAGAATAGCGGACAAGATTGTTCTCCAGGAGGACAGAGTCAAGGGCCACAGAGAATGCAGGCAAGGAAGTACCTTGCTCAGGACGACACTCGGTACATTGACATTTTATTCTAGGGTTTGGAGGGTCTTTGCAATACCTACCCAGCAGGAGTTCAGTGCTATGGCCCAGGACTGCTGTGGGCATTTCTATTCTTGTCCGCTTTTGTATATTGGGTAGGCAGTTGGGCCCGGATAACTTGTCTTTTAGTTCACAGGGTGCCAGATCTTGAGGAACCACGTCTGGACCTCAAGAAGAGATCTGAACACCATCTGGAGACCCCAGACTTTGATATAGATATAATAACTGGAGACATTTTTTTTTTCATGAGAAATAGGCGAATATGGCTTAATAAGGGATGATAGTGGCCCAAGGGACCAACTATGTTAGAGACGCTAGTTGTCTACCAAAAATACATTCTTCTCTTCTTTCTGGGCACCCAGCTGGACTGCATTTCTCAGCCTCTCCTGCAGGGAAGTGACTAAGTTTTCTTCAATGGAATATGATTACAGGGATAAATGGCACTTCTACTCTTGGCCCATAACAGTCTCTCATACTTGTCCCAGTATGTCCCTACCTTTTACTTGCTAACAGAAGTGGCAAAGCCTGGAATGACCTCTGGGTACCACAAGCCAAGAATGACACAGCCATCATCACCTGGGTCTTTAATTGACTGTGAAGGAGCTCTCCTATCAGTCCAAATCCTATTATAATGACTTCTGATTTTTTAAGCCACAGAAATTTGGATTTTATTTTAACAGCAGTGTAGCATAATCTAATAGATTCCATTAAAAATAGCAATTCCTTTTTTTTTAACAGAATTAACTGTTTCAAGAAAGGCTACAGTTCACACATTGAATTGAAAACCTTGACATTGTCCCTATTGGCCAGATGAGATTGCGTGATCCCTTCTCAAGACTCCTACCTGGAATAACTACAATCCTAATCATTTTACTCCTCTTTTGCCTCTTCTCTACCCCTTCCCGGACCCCTCTGTTGTGCTCTCCTGGCAAAACCCCAGCTCTGGATTCACCCAATCCTACCTCCTCCCATGCTTGCAAGCTTCCCACGGCTGGTTCCACTTTAAATTCAGGATTGCTGACGTAGTACTGATAGCCACAGTACTGTCCCAACAATCTCACTGCATTCCCTCAGTTCATTCATTCATCGAATCCCACATACAGATTTTCAGATGTTTTTGTCTCTCTACAATAATCTCCAGTTCCTTTCCCTTCCTCCTCACTGTTAGCTGATGAGTTTGAATTCTACCTCATTAAGAAAATAGAAGCCATCAGGGCGAGTTTCCTTTAGCTCCCACCATCTTCTCCTCGACTGCCTACCTGCATCTGTTCCTGTGTAATGTGCCTTCCTTCTTGGGTGAATTATCTGTTTTTTCTAAAGCCAAAACCTCCATATGTGCACTGGGCACCATTTCCTCTCATCTACTGAAGGCTCTTACTCTAAAAACTCTCTCCTCTTTTTTGCACCATCAAAATTTCTCTCTGAATTGGACGTTTCCCATCAACACACAAGGCACCTGGAAATCCTCTCATGTTTCAAAAAGAGTCAAAAGAACTTGACTCCACCTTGCCACCAACTTGTTAGAGTAGATGGTGGCCCGTTACGGGGAGCCCCGGGACACTCTGGGGTAAGTGATGAAAAAAAGCTGCCCGTCCATAGATAGGACAGGAGCAAATCTGCTCGTCCCTAGGCAGATAGGGCGAGAGGAAAAATGGCCATTTCGAGAAAATGGAGAAGATTGATACAGTATGTTTGTGTCTTGTTTTGTCTCAGTATATTGTATTGTCTCTGTGATGAAAACATGGAAGGGGTGTTAAGTAAATTGATAAGGGAAAGAGGCACCCCAGTGGAACCAAGAATAGTTAGGGCATGTGTTGATGGAAGCCCAGGAACTCTAGTCAGAAAGAAAAAGAAAGTTCAGAAGAAGAAAGATTATCAGGAAAAAAGTTACAGCGAAAGGCTATTACTGAATACTTTTCGTTACCGGAGGGTGCATCAATCGGCGCGGTGGCGGCTGCCACGTGCGCGAGCTGGTCATGGCGCAGCAAGGGCTTTCCAAGCAGCTGCAATCGGCTCTTCTCTGCCCCCCGCCCGGGGAGCGGGATGCCACTGCGAGAGCCCAAATCCAAACCTGTGCCGGGAAGCAGTTTGAGACCAGGACTCTCCCCAGGGCCATCTGGGGCTGCCCAGGACGCTACAGCCAGCAAAAGACGCTACTGGCGTCCCTGGTGTTTGGTCATTTCCAAGGCCAGTAACTACAATGGTTCTCCCACACCTGGAAGCTAATGAGTAATGAGCACTATTAAGGCTTATTTCAAATGTAAAAAACCTTGAGGTAATGTACTAAATTGTTCAGAAGGTTGTTTTCTTAGTAGAGTGCTACAGGATTTTCTTTAGCCATCTGGAGTTCCTGCCTTCGTCCCAGTGCCCATAAAGACCAAGGTGGAAGAATTTCCAGTGTTGCTGAGAACCGGAGGAGACTTCGGATTAAGCTAGTTGCCTGCAGAACTTACCTGGACTGTGATTTAAGCTACCTGCCTGCAGAATTTACCTGGACTGTGAGTTAATCTATTTGAGACACTGCTTTACCTGGACTGAGACAACAAACTGTAATCTACAACAAATTGTAACTTGGTATCTTTGCTAATGGTGTCATTGCTGGTATAATTTTTCCAAGGGCTTCTTGCATGGAGCCATCAATTGGCTTGGTATTGTGGCATTTTGTATCCTCCCTTTCTGTTTGTAGCAGGTTATTTATGGTGTTTCTGTCAAAACCACTATGGTCGTTATTTAAATTAAACAAAAGGGAAAAATGTTAGAGTCTGTAAACAAGTCAAAATAAACGGCTTCCACTTCTGCTGTATCAACGTACACAAGTTATTCGTCACCCCCCCCCCCCACCCCCGGTTATTTTGCTGCAGCCGGACTGCGGCACCAACTCCCATCCATATGCTATTTAAATAGATATATTTCTGAAAATAAATGTTCCAATTCACTCTTTCTTTCTTTCTCTAATCTCATTCTCTCTTGAGCTCACCCCAGGCAGGATTTTCTGTTGAAATAGTTTGTATGAAGATCATCAGTGACCTTCATGTTACCCAAATCCAATAGCTGATTGACCATCTTCATCTTTCCCAGCCTGTCAACAGCATTTGATAGGGTACATCACTCACTTTTAAAAAAAAATGCTTTATTATTTTGGCTTCTCAGGGATGTTTCTTTCTTGGTTCTTTGCCTTTTTTTAGTAGTTGCTCCTCTTAATCTTTGAAACATACTGCAGCACTCCATGCTTACTCCCTGATGTTGATTTTTTCCCACCTGCACTAGATGATCTGTTGAATTTTATAGCTTTAATACCGTGTCTATTAAATGGATGGATTCCATATATCTACTTCTGAACTGAATATCTCCATTTAACTCCAAGCTTGCCTATCTAGTTGCCTGTTGACAACTCTTCTTAGATGTCTAGTTATTTCAAAATTAACATTCCCCAAAATCAAATTCCTGATTATCTTTACCCTCAAGGATGTTCACTAAAAGTAACTCCATTTTTCAGCTATTTAAGCCAAGGCCTTCATCATTCTCTGTTTTTCCTAACACTCTCAACTGGTACATCAGCACATCCTCTCACCTCTACCTCAAACTATATCTAGAATTTGCTCACTTCTCTCCACCTCCGTCTCCATCATCTCTCATCTAGATTACTGTGATAGCATCCTGTGGCCAAAACTGCCCACTCCCTCCCAATCTTCTTATCTCCTCCATCCTTTCATACTAGTAGAATTTCTATCTGGGCATCCGTCTACCAGAATGTACCTGATACTTCCTAACATTTTTTGCAACTTGGTGTAGGTAAGGGTCTGTCTGTAAAAACGTCTATGGAAACTTCTTTAAAAGATAGATCAGAGATACCCTTTGTTGTTTCTTCTTTATCTTTTCCTCCATCCTGCTTTCTGGTACAGACATGACTCCTTCTACCTGAAGAATGCACCCTTTGGTTAACTCTTTCCTCTCTGTACTCAAGCCCTGGATGAGTGCTTAGAGCCATGGGTTGGAATGTCTTTTAACTCACCAGGGGCTTGATCAAACAAAGCTGAATTCAGACCTCTGGATTCAGACTCCTGGAATGTAAGACAGAAACCAACTTCTTGTTAAAGTCACAATCATTTGAATTTTATTGTCACCCTTGAATTTTATCCCAAATAATACATCCCCTAACTGGTCTCCTACTTCTGCTCTTGCTCCTTTTAAACTATTATTCCCAGAGCATCAGTCAGAGAAATCCTTTAAGACCAGGTTGACTATACTACCCTTGAACTCAAAGCTCCCCTTGCTAGTCCCATGTGCTCTCTTACTGGACATGTCTGTGTGTCCATGCTCTGTCTCCTCCTCCTCCTCTTCTGTTCTTGTCTGTCCATTCTTCACTCCATTTTGTCCATTACAGACAGCATGCTCCATGCACTATCTTGCAAACACATTTCTGCTGCAGGGACAGGCATTTCTTCCCTTTTCCTGGAAGACTCGCCCCCTCACTTTCCTCAAAACCTAGTTCCCAAAATGTTACTTCATCCAACAGGTCTTTTCTGACCACTCAAGTCTACATCATTACATCATTAACATCACAACCAGAACAGGTCCAATAAAAATTGGGACGCTCAGCTTCTTTAGAAGTGAATTTTTTTTTTCTTTCCTGACAATACTGGACCTAATTCTCACAGGGCAATAATGAACTTGAGCCAGGGAAAGCTTTGGGGTGGGGCTTAGTGGAGCCTTCTTGGTATGGACAATGGATGTTGTTTATTTAACATAAACTTCTATGACAACTTAGCTTCAAACACTGCCATTCCCACTCCACCCTCTCCATTCCTCTTCCTCTACCACCCTCATCCACCCCTGGCTGGATAATCCTCCTAATAAAGTTCTACTGGCTATAAAATTGATGCACAGGTCACAGTCCTCCTTTAAAAAAGTATGTAATACAAATGGACTAAAAAAGAAAAGTGCTCACAATGCCAGTATGCATGGAATTTTCCTCACATTTCTATCACCAGTTGCCTATCATCCTATACTCACTTGCTTTAATAATTCACAATAGTCACCTGGTTCTGGAGGCATGTGATTAGTAAACAATGACTTAGGGTATTTTAGTTCTCTCAGATTTATAGGGAAAACCCCAAATGATTAAAAGTCTCTATGAAACCCAGAGGAAAGACTCTTCAGTATAGCATTCCAGGCATCTCAAGAGCCAGTCACTCCACATAGCAGCTTTCTGTACCTGCTGTACTTAAAACTGGCCTCCATCTACCAGGTTATTTAACAAAGACAAATAATGACTCATCCCTGGGGAGTTGTTTGATTTGGTGCAGAATCAAAGTCTTTTTTTCTTTTGAAATGTCAAAACAGGTCGACCAGGCTTTGAACCTGCACAGAGATTATTGCAAACAGATTAATCTTTCCCAGGAAGGTATCAAGGAGCTAATATTTTAAACAAATAAAAGGTGAATTGCATTACTTAGCCGTCAAATGTTATATTTAGAATTTACTAAAGACATAAATTTGAGTGTAATTTAAATTCTTCAAACAGAATAACTCATAAGAGGTTTATATAGAGTTCAGTTTTCCCTATTACACATTTATGATGAATTTTTATTCATGAAAACTGTTTCTGGTAGCTCTGGTACTTTACCCTGTCTTTATGAATGCTTTCAAAACCAAATTCTAAGGAAATGGTTAAAAAAAAAAAGCAGGGGCGGACTTTGAATGGAGCTCATCAACTTATCAACTTTATTATTTAAAAGTTTGTCTGGGATTAAGAATTATGAAATAATTTCATTCATCCATTTATTCATTCAGCAAAATCATGTAACAGATGTTTTTCTAGCAAAGACAGTCATTGTTCTAGTCACTAAGTTCACAGCAGAAACAAAAGATCTAAGTCCCTGCTCTTATGGAGATTATAGTACCATTCAATAAAAAAGTATGTAATACAAATGGACTAAAAAAGAAAAGTGCTCACAATGCCAGTATGCATGGAATTTTCCTCACATTTCTATCACCAGAATCTGGACTTTAAGGGGATGAACAAATTAACAACGTAACCCATTAAGTCCCACATTTTCAATTCTGTGACTATTTCTTTCTTTCTTTTTTTTTTAAGAGAAACTTTTTTTTTTTTTTAGGTGTAGATGGACACAACACAATGCCTTTATTTTTTATGTGGTGCTGAGGATCGAACCCGGGTCCCGCCCATGCTAGGCGAACACTCCACCGCTGAGCCACAATCCCAGCCCAATTCTGTGACTATTTCAATGAAATTGACATGGGTACATTAAAATGGGATGGAAATCAGAATCTAGAGTTTATATATATTATTATATTAACTAATATTAACCAGCAGTATAACATTATGATTACTATAATTATATTACTACATAATTACATGCTATTTTTATATGTTTATGTTATTATAATACAATGATATTGTTACATGTTATTATATTATTATGTATTATATCATGTTATGTTATATTATTATATATAAATACTATTTCAGTTTTATAAGTATTTCACATCTGGGACAATGGGACTGAATGGGCTAATATTATCAGCTGCAGAATCTGTGATCAGAGAACATCAGCTCCATAATAAAACGGGGTGGTGTGGGGATACGCATGCTTTTAGCTATTTCTCCCACAAATTGCTGCCTTCTAAAAGGACACATTTAGGAACAAACAGGTCATTGCTTGGATTTCTGCTCTTCTCACACACTGAGAGCTACAGAGAAACTTCTTTACCTCCTCTAAAAAGTTGAGACTCCCGAAAATTGAGAAACTCCCCCACCCCTTGATTTTCTCTGTTATCTAAAGCAAATCAGACCTCCGTGTAAAGCAAAGTCTATCTTGTTGGATAAGCTTGCTTTCTTGTTCTGATAAGCTTGGTTTGCTCCTCTCAGTTCCCTTATGGGGAAGTAATCATTGCCCGGGGGCCCTTTCGTTCTCTCTGAGTTAGCTTATTCATCTAGTCATTTCTGGTATTTTCTAATTGCCTCATCTAACAAAGTCAGCACTTCTTGTTTCCAGCACTGTGCTGCATTGGCGGAGCTCCGCTGGGTCTTCTCTCCCTCAACAGTTTCAGGAAGATGTTTACATATAGACTTGTAAACTACCTGTTTACCCCAAGCAGAAGAAGAAACCCACCCAACGGCCCAACCTGACGTCAGTGTGAAAATCATGAACAATAATATCACCTTTAGCTTTGTCAGGAGACTCTGACAAGTCTACCCACAACCATCTCCATCAATGACAGAGGACATAGGTGCCCCCCAGGTCAACCCAGGAAGCTGAGAAATGGGCTGACCTAATTCATGGCCAGTGAATCTCACAGGAGGGACTAGATTATAAAGTCAGCAAAGTTTCTCATGCACGCCCTGCCCTGGGTACTTTTGCTATCACACCCTCTTTCTCTACTAAATAACATTAACAATTATATTTTATTACTGTGCCCATATACAGATGAAAATAACCCTAACTGGATTCATTATTATAGATTCCTTATGCCTATAGTCATTTTTTGTTGTTCTTTTTTAAAAACACAACATTTTTTGTTCTTTTTAAAAAAGTGAAATTTGAAAGATTTTTGTGGTCCCTGGATACTGTACCTCCTGTACCTAATGGAGAAGTGGCCTCCTTCTGCCAAGGCTCTTTACAGAAAAATGCCTCAGGCATCAAACCTTCCCATTCCTATTGCCTGTCCTGCCCACTGACCTGATCAAAACATCTTGGTCAGCAGCAGTTAGCAAGGCTGTGACAGTGGTGATGGGAAGGTCTCTTCTTCCTCTTCAGCCACTTGGGACTGGCTGCTGTT